GAAGAAAGAATAAATAAATAAATAAGAATACGAAAATAAAAAAAAGAATAAATAAAAAATAAAGAAATAACAATCCAAAAAGTGAAAAGGAAGAAAGAATAAATCTAAAAATATAAAACGAAGAGAGAAAAATAAATAAATAAGAATCTAAAAATATGAAAAAAGAATACAAAATAAATTAAAAAAATAAGAATACACAAATTTTTAAGAAGAAGGAGGAATAAATAAATAAATACGAATCTAAAAATATGAAAAAGGTAGAATAAATAAAAAAATAAATAAATAAGAATCGAAAACTATGAATATGAAATTAAGAAGAGTAAATAATAAGCTTCAATCTTAGTAAGTTCAGTTTTACTTATATGGTTTTCCCTTTAAATTTTAAACCAATTTAAAATGAAATACAATTTATTTATTTTATATTTTAAGCTTAGCAATGTTAAACTTAATATTTATTATAATAATTACTGTCGGCGGTACAAATACAAATTAAATTCATATTTATACAAGCCTTCATCGAATAGTAAATAAATAATAAAGATGAATTTAAAGACTGAATATATTATATTCAATATATATATATATATTTATATATATTTTATCAATAGCATATGGTATACATATACTTATATGATTTTTGCTTATATGACTGAGTAACCATATGCTCCTCAAAATGCCAGTGACAATTGGAACACCGGAATGAATATGTTATGCATGGTCATTGGGATGAATATATATATGGAATATATATATATGTGGTATATGTATATATATCCTTTCCCTTGAAGGGTGACTGTGGAATGTGTGTATTTCCTTTATATCCTCAAGGTGAGCCACAGCATCGCAACCCCTTCTTTATCCCCTCACATTCGATATTTGAGTCATTCGAATGGCATCCTTCGATGCTGATCCGCAATCTTTTCCATTCCCAACTCGAGATGACAGAATGACTCGTGCTATTTGAATGCTTCCTTTGTTAGTGTGTGTGTGTGGGTGGGTGTGTGGGGGGTGTGTCCTGGGTGTAGGGTAGTATAAAAATGCAATCCGCTGAATGGGTCTCTGGAACTGGAACTGGTACTGATGGCAACAAGTCGTATGAGCAATATGCGCTTTATTTACAATCAATACAGCCGAACACACAAGTGGAGGAGGAGCGAAAAAAAAGAAAGAAAGAAAGGCAACAATGCTGCCCCGTAAATGCCGTTATATTTTACATGCCACACGTCAATAATACAAAAAAAAAGAAAGAAAGACGCGGGAGGGTATTGCGATTGCCTGTCTGTCTGTCAGTCTGTGTTAGCCAGGCCATATCGATTACCAATCAATTCAGATCCTGGCTCTGGCTATGGCAATTGTTGACTTCATTGGATTGACATTCCCTTCGGGATAAGGACAACAAATAATGTTTCAACGAATGGGGCACAGAAGAGCTCTCTCTCTCTCTCCCTCTCTCTTTCTGCGGCTAATTAAAATGCAAATGCTGCTGCGGCGATTCCTTTGCCAGTCAGCTAATCAAAATGAAAAATGATAGCCAAGTTCAAGGGGGTGGGGAAGGAGCGGGGTGGAGGGAGTGCACAAGAAAAAATAATAGATAAAATATATATAATAATATACATATATATGAAATTCATAAACTCAAGGTTTTATAGTCAAAAAGTTCACATTAACTATCGATAATCCGATACTGTATCAATGATTCATATATTTAAATATCGATATCAATATAATGATACTCCATCAATTATTCATATATTTAAATAATATATGTTTATCTTTTTATAAATCTTTATTATGTTTTAATAAATTTTTATATATACAATCAGAGATCGAGATAATACATATTGTTGAATAAACTATTTTCGATATTTTAAAAATCGATAAATCAATGATAGCAATATTTCTGATATTTGGGATATCATTTATGAATTCTTTTCTTTCCATAAACATTTACTTTATTTGATCGATATTATAAAGTTAATTGCGATTATTTTGGATATTTAAGATTTCGATAGATTAAGCTTACCATATTTCCGATATATGACAGTGTCTTATAATCAACTTTTCCTTTCAATATACATTCTTTAATAATTAATATTTTAGGCTTCTGCTATTTTAATGCGATATATTTCAATATTTAAATAATCGTTTGCTATATTTCCGATATTTGGGATATCATTTATGATTTCTTTGCTCTTCATAAACATTCATAAAATATAGACTTTATTTGATCGGTATTTTAAAGATTATTGCAATTATTTTCGATATTTAGGAATTCGATAGATCAAACTTATTTCCAATAATATAATAAGCGTATAAAGCCTTATATTCAATTATTTCTTTCCATATACGTACATTTTTTATAAATAAATACTTTATGCTATTGCTATTCTAATGCTATATTTTTAATATTATAAATATTTTGTCGAAATATATGTACATATTTCCATATTTTAAAAGTCAATATCTTAATGTGTGCGATATTTCTGATATTACCATATCAGTTTTCTCTCGATAAATGCATTATTTTCTTTTGTTGATTGATATCTTATTATTAAACAAGTTTTAAAATAAAAAACCTACACCATTTTCGATTTCATATTAGGAATATAGGTTTTCCAATTTTTCCTCTTGGGAAATATGTCAAATAAACATACTAACATTAGGTAACATTAAATAGGGTTAAAATTATCTTCTTAACTGTTAAACTACAAAAGAATCATAAATTTTGTGCAGTGCACGAATCGCTGGTTTCGTTGTTTTTAGTATCTGTGGAATGGTTTTGCAAATGATATATGAACCACAGTGCTATGAATAATGCGAGTGGCCGCTGCAGATAACTGGCAGAGTCAATAGCCCCACCGTCTCCAGCTCCAGCTTCTGTTCCTGCTCCAGCTCCTCCTCCTCCAGCTGCTACTCCTCCTCCAGGTCCTGCTCCTGCTCCTCCTCCTGCTCCTGCTTCAGTGCCTCTTCCCATTCCCCACCCTTTTTCCTCCAATTTGGGGTGTTACTCCCTGGAGGGTAATGCCTCTGTCCGCCCAAATTGGTGGCCATTGACCACGAAGCGCCCCCTCAAAAGCAATTCCAATGTGTGTAATTTTGCGTGAATTTATGTTTTCATTTATTTTTTTTTGCTGTTCTCTCCTGTCCGTTGTCCGTTGTCCACTGTCCGCTGTTGTTTTTCTTGTTATTATTGTTGTCTGCCTTGGGAAGGAGTCTCCGGTCTCTGGTGTCCGGATCCTGGCCGAGAAAACATGTGCACCATTCACACGCCCAGGATCAGGATACAGGCTACAGGATACCGGTCAGGTTGGCTCCCAAGGGGACCAGCGGCAGCACCGTTTAAACGTTCGGTAAACGGCCATTAGGCCAACAACACAACATTTTATGCCATCAAAACAAAGGGAAATTGTTATGCATGAATGGCGAGGAGGAGAGGCGCCATATAATACAGGGGTTTTGGGTATGGGTGAGGTATAAGGACCAGGGTCCTGGGCGTGGCCGAAAGACAATGAAAGATAATTTAGGACTTTCAACCAGAATGAGTTCAGCATTTGCATATGAGCATAGAGAAGCAAAGAGAGAGAGAAAGAGCCAGAGAAATAGAAAAAAGGACAGAGAGAGTGGCCTAGGGTCATCCGCTTTTCTACTAATCAAAGGTCAATCAATAATGAATGAATGATAATTTAATGAAAATTGATTTTGAAATATTAAGCTGAAGTAAGGTATTTTCTTTAGAACCCAAAAAGCTGAGAGTTTTCTATACGGAAATCGCTAGGATTTAAAATACCTTAAAAACGTGTATAGAAGTATTTTAGAAAATTTTAGGACCTTTTAATACAAATAATACATATAATTTGAATAAATATAATTATTAATGTAATTAGCAAATAATAATAAAAAAAGAAAGCTACAATAGGTATCTATAACTTTGTACTGCGTACCTCTAGACACGTTTTTAAATTATTTCAAAAATTCTGTGATTTCTAGAAATGTATGCTTATTTTTTGGGATATAAATATCAAAGGAATCTCCTTGTGGAGAAAGGACCTACTTTTATACTAGTTTTAAGTGCTTCTGATTAGGGCTGTCAGAAAATATAGATTTATTAATAATCCATCAATATTTGATGAGATATATAAAACTGATAATAAATTTACTTTCTTAACATTGCGCTACATATGCGATTAGTCTAAATTCTGTTAAATATAATAAGCTAACATTGTCGTAAGAAAAAGAAACTATCGATAAATTACTGCTTTATCGATATTTGGCATGATATATATAAACCGATATATAAATTGATTTATTACTATTAAGATTAATTTCTGTTTAATGTAGGAAACCAATATTATAGAAAAGAGATAATGTATTTTTATTTATACTCTATCAATATTTGTTGAATTATAAAATGCTAATATATATGTTAATGAATTAATACTGCAATACATTTCGATAAAATATTAATAATATAATTATTTTAATATTATATAATTTGATTTGCTGTTTGTTAGAAAGTTTAGAAAGGGACAATTCAATTAATTTAAATATTTAACGATAGTGCCGATTATTTTAAATTAAATGCAATTAGTTCTAATGCAAAAAATGTAATATAGTAAAGTTTGTGATATTTTTTGCATGTTAAGAAAGGCTCCTTATGCTCCTTTGTTGTCGATATATCATATATAATTTTTACTTTCGATAACATTTCAAGTAAATAAGATGTAGGTAATGTTATGAATTTTCAATAAATTCGCTCATATTAAAATAAAATTGACTCTAATCTGTTCAATCTGCTGAAACGCACTGTACCATTAATGCGAGAACACTCGCTCACCCTAAGAGCTTATGTGTAAGATACACATATATATCAATATATATATAATATTTGCTAAACCACCACAAAAGTAATCCACACAAATAATCCACTCGCACCTTGTAAATATTTCAAATGCCGCATAAAATTTAATCCACTTCGATTTTCTGTTTGTTTTCATTTGCAGTCACAGAGAAAGAAATACGTCAATGGTGAGTTAGTGGGCGTCGATATATTCGAATATACTCGTAAATATTTTGCCAAATTAGTGTATTAACATTTTGAATATATTTTCATGCAATTATTTCTATAAATATGTATATACTCACTACTTTATTTGACAGGCACAAAGGATTCCTGAAAGACTGTCCCAACGGCCTGCTCACAGAGCAAGTAAGTAACTGTGCATCCTTAAGGATAACAACATGAAATGTATCTTGAGTATCTAAAAGCATATGTGTGTGTAAAATTAGTGTGGCCACGTGCGTGTGTGCTTCACCTGAGCGTGGCCAATTCATTTAAGTCAAATGGCTAATTTAGTTAATTTTCCGCCATACCAACACCGGCGGCGGCTCCTCTCGATTTATGTAAGCTAATTCCACAACGGGAGCAACATCACCATGAGACATGTTGCAAGGAGGGGAGGCGCCTCCTTGGACTCCCTTTCGGGACACGCGGCGCCTGCTTTTTGGGCCATTGCCAAAATGTGTTGACGACCTCCGGCTGCTAATGACAATGCTTTTGTTGCTGTCGCCGTCGGCTGTTGTTGTTGATAATGAAATGTATTAATGTTCGCATTATTCAAACACAAACCCGAACTCTCAACGGCACATGTGTGTGTGTGTCTGCCACGATTCTAATTGATTCATTCACATTTCTTATTTCTTCTTTTTGGTTTTGCTATTCTTCTCTTCCCCCTGTTTTCCCTTCTATTTCTTTAGGGCTTCATCAAAATCTACAAACAATTCTTTCCACAAGGCGATCCAAGTAAATTCGCCTCGCTCGTCTTTCGTGTCTTCGATGAGAACAATGTGAGTATGTCCTTTCCCCAAAAAATATCCTTATCCTTGAGGCTGCAGACCACGCCCATATAAAGAAATTAAACGAATTTCAAAGAGAAGATTTTGTAAAGTACTTTGATTGTCAGTCTGGTTAAGAACCTTGAACTACCTATTTTCCATTGCCAACGCCTTGGGATATGCTATGCTTTTGGTATCAGAGGCACGGGTATTTCATAGTGTGTTCTAAATAAGTTTTACTTTACACAATTTTAAGGAGAATAACCGTAAAGTACTTATTATATATAATTGCCAGTTTGCTCAAGCACCCTTAACTCCTTAGAAAAGCTGACACTTTGGGTAGGAGAGCCCCGGGTGTTTCATAGTCTGTCCTAAATAGGTCTTATCGTATGAAATACGTTAAGCACCCTTGACTCCTTATTTTTTAATACCAGATTTTTGGTAATAGAGCCACTGTTATTCCATAGTCTCTCCTAAATAAGTTATACTGTAACAGATTTTACACAGATTCTAAAATAAAGACTACAAAGTACGATAAGCACCCTTGACTCCTTATATTTTTAATACAACACTTTTGGTTATAGAGCCACGGTTATTCCATTGTCTGTCCTAAATATGTCTTGTCTAAACAGCTTTTAAAGAGAAGAGTACATAAAATGCTTTAAATAAGTTACAGTCAGTCCGTTTAAGCACCCTTACGCCTTGGGGTATGCAACGGTTTTGAAACGAGATGCACGGGTGTATCATAGTCTGTCCTAAATATTTCTTACCCTGCAAGATTTTAAAAATAAAACTACATAAAGTGCTTTGTTTAGGTAATTTTCAGTCCGCTTAAGCACTCTTAACTCCATATTTCCAATAGAACACTTTTGGTGTGAGAGGCACGGGTATTTCATAGTCTGCCCTTTCCTTCCCCGTCTATCAAGCTGACGTTGGCGAAAAATTTTCAGACATCTACAAAATAAACTGATTTTAGCAGGTTAATGTCCTGCCCAAACCGCTGTTCCCCATTTATGCGATGGGTGATCATAAATTCTTTGAGTTCTTCTTGCTTATTTTTTTGTATATACATCTATATATACATATATAATTTATGGCCCATGGGCGTGGTCTGCCCTTATGTTACCCACAACCACAGAATGTCAACTGTCTGATGTCTGCACTGATTTGCTTTCTTTGTCTCTCCGTCTGCCTGCGTGTGTGTGTGTGTGTCTCAACTTTTGTGCGGATATGTGTTTGTGTGCGTGTCTGCTTTCTTCTTTCTTCTTTTTGCTCTTTTCTTTGTCTCCCTCTCTCTCTCTCGCTGTCTCTTTCCCTGTTGTTCTTTTGTGCCGCCTCCAGGATGGCTCCATAGAGTTTGAGGAGTTCATACGCGCCTTATCCGTTACATCGAAGGGCAACCTGGACGAAAAACTGCAGTGTAAGTTTTTATCATCTTTTTCTACGAGTCCTAGTCCCTATCCCCCTGCCCTTTATCCTCTTCCTCTCTCTCCTTGTTCTCCCTATCTCCATATTTTCCTTTTTTTCCTCCTCTTCTTTATATGATATTTCTTTATAACTTAATCACTCGACATTCTCGATTCCTTTCGTCCTTAGGGGCCTTCCGTCTTTATGATGTGGACAATGATGGTTACATAACGCGAGAGGAGATGTACAACATCGTGGATGCGATCTATCAGATGGTGGTAAGTATTGCTCACTATTCAGAAAAAATTAGTATTTTCTTGTGTCATAAGTCGGTAGCTCAGTGTCATAACGCCCTCATCTTTTAAAAACTTTCAAAATTCTTTGAGGAAAAAATCAGATAGCCTGTAAGAAAAATATCCATCGTTATGACACTGGACTTTATGTAAAGTTACTTAGTGTTATAACTCTGAGCATTATGAAATTGATCATTATGACACAGATCGTTTGAATACACCTACTAGTTCTTAATTATAGTATTATAATAATTACTATAACATTGGGTGTTATGACACTGCGCCTAATGATACTGAACATTATGACACTGGGCGTTAGATGAAAAGTACTAGTTTTAGATATTATAACAAACACTAGGGCTTATGACACCGTACAAAATGATCCTTATTGGAACTGAGAATTATGATATTCAGCTTTATGACACTATGCATTATCATTTTAAGAATTATGGCGCTAAGCATTATGACACTTACCATTTTGGGACTGAGCGTTGAGATAAACGTACCAGTTTAAGATATTCTAGCAAACACTGGGCTTTATGACACTGGGCTTTATAAAATATATAAACCCCCCTTTGACAGTTAACAAAACAAATTATAAGCTGTAGGCATTATATATATAATAAGCATTGGATATTAGGAAACTTTGGGTATGACACAAAGCATTAAGACAAGTTTTTGTTATAGATATAATAACAAACAGAGTTCATTATGACTTTATGTTATGACACTAGGCATTATGACGCAGAACAAAGAGAATTATTAAAATGCAACTTTTGACATTTGAAACAGTTGGAATGGATTATTTTGCATCTCTGCAAATGCAAAATGGTGTGACTTTCCGATATCTATTTCACAAATTTCGTTCGATAACAACTCTTTCTTTTTTTCTTCATACCAAATTTATGTATCAAATTTCCATAAAACCCCATATGATCTAACCTTTTCCATCCATATTCTTCTCTCTCTCTCTACTTCAGGGCCAGCAACCGCAGTCGGAGGACGAGAATACGCCGCAGAAACGAGTGGATAAGATCTTCGATCAGATGGATAAGAATCACGATGGAAAATTAACATTAGAAGAATTTCGTGAGGGTAGTAAAGCTGATCCACGTATAGTTCAGGCGTTAAGTTTAGGTGGTGGTTAAATCGATTAACAAATGCCCGATTAACGATAACAGATCCAAATCCAATTCAAACAAAAATATTGAAAAACAGAAAACTAAAGCGTGCAATAAACCGAAATTGAAACCGTAAACATTTTTGAACAACAAAACAAAAAAAAAAAAAAACTAAAAAATACCAAAAAAGCATAAAAGCTAAAGAAAACGAATACTTAGTTTGCATTCGCTTCTTCACTCTTCACTCTCTCTTCTCTCTACGCTTTTCTCGATTTCCGATAAAAAAAAATCTCGATTCTCCGCGCGTCGATTGCGACACTGAAGATGATAATAATTTTTTGATATATGAATATGCATAACGAATAAACTGAACTAGAGGGATGAAGCCCCCCAAATGAAATCGAACAGAAAACGAAAAATTAATTTTTAAATATACACCAGAATATGAATATATATATATATAGGATATCGTCGCGTAGTCAGAGCGCAGTTCATAGCAATAAAGGAAAAACAAAACCAAAAAGAAGTAATTAAAATAATAACAAAACGAAACGAAGTAAAAACAAAACATACAAAGTAAATTAATGCTAATTTGAAATTAAAACGAAATGTGTGAGGCGCAAATCAATTTTTGAAGCATACACCAATTACGAGTAAACAAATTAAACCTACGAATAAATCAGCATAATTATATTATACAATTAAACCATACAATTAGAGCCGAACTAAGCCTACGAATCAATTGCGCAGCCTTCGAAGCGAAAGCCACTAAACAAAAACAAAGCGAAAATGAAATAAAATTAAATACAAATAAAACAAAACGAAACAAAAACAAAAACCAAAAAACAAAGCGAAAACAAACAAACTATCTAAGCTAAAACGAGTTATCACAACTCGATCCCAGTCAGCTAATTCCACTCGCGACAGCAAATAGCAGCCACTATATCCACTATATCTAAAATATGTATAGATATATATATTTAAACATATAGCCACATGTATGGATGGCCGCAGACAGGACGAATAGGGGGTGAATTTAAGGGATATTTAGGGGACTTGTGAAGGGAATGGGCCTAATGGGTTATAAATCAAATGATTGATAGAAATCCTAACCTACTTCTCACCTGTGTCTCTGTGAACCCTCCCCCCAAAGATAAAACCCCCAAAAACTGGACATAAAAGTATATATATATATATATTATATATATATATATTGCTCTCCTCAACTAATGAAACACTTATTCTTTGGCTTATTGCAAACAATCGAATTAGTTCTAGTTATTATATATTATGCTATAAGACCCCTGTGCTGCTTGAGGAAAGGTTTGTCTCTTTTATTGCAGCCCATTTCCTATTTATTCCAGCTGCCTTACAGCCATGAAACGCACTTTGACCCTTCAAAATGAATGAACAAAATAAAAATGAAAAGAAATTGAGATACAAAAAAGGCAATCAAGTTTTTCGTTAGAATTAGAATTCAAATTCAGTGATTGCAGAAAGTGTTGCATACCCAAAAGGCGCTGATAACAAAACAAGTGTTTGCTTTTGTTTGCTCTATCTCTCTCTGTCTCTCTCTCTACCACTTTTCTATCTCTGTCTTTATAAATATATATATATAAATATTTCTCTGTCTCACTATCTCTCTTATGCTCCCCTAGTAAATATCTGTATTACCAGCTTTGCCTTGTTTTCCGTTAAGCGTTTTACGTTTCCAACAACAATAACCATTAACAGTAACAAGTAACAAGAAACAAAAAAACAAAAGAAAAACTAGCAAAAACCAGAAAACAACAACAACAACACGAACATATTGACAATAGGCGGAGACAGCAAGCGGTTAAGGATAATGGTCCTCGAACTGGCACCAGAAATAGCTGCGAAATGAAGAGATTAATAATTGATAAACTAATCAAAGAACGCACATCTACAACAACAAGAAAAACAACAACAACAACTACTACTATGAACATGAACATATATACACATATGTATGTATATCCGTCTATATATATCCAACCCAAAAAGAATAAAAAAAAGAAAACCCCACGAGAAGCAGCTGAAAAAAAAATAGATACATATATATCTATATTTGTCAAGGACAATGTTGGAGCTGTAGTAAATAACAATGAACAAAATCCATCATACGATTTAATTTCTATTCTATATGCGGTTCAGCTTTATTATTGCATTGATTTTTCAATAAAAACCAATCAACCGTTTTTACTATTCCGATGACTATCTATAAATACGAATCCACACTCACGCTTACACTCACTTAACCCGTTCAGTACTCAAGTATTTAGTATTTAGTATTTAGTGTTTCAGTATTCCAATATTCAGTATCCAGTATGTCCTGTATTCAGTATATCCTGTACTCAGCATTCAGTATATCCAGTATAACAGTCCACTCCCATACACAAAAATACACCCATTCACACTTCTACCATAGCTAGATGCAAAGGCAGTTGGAAGCATAAGATGCATAGCGCGCTTGTATAGCCTTCTCGTTCGCACAAACTACAGAGGCAAATCCTAAAAGCTTGTTTTTAGGAATAAAAAAAAGAGTTATGCATCTTATTCTTTAGATTGTCTCTGCTAGAACCATCTAGTTAGTATTTTATTATTTTGCCTGCTTTGCCTTTTCTTAATCTGATTGAAAACAATTGAGCGATTTACATTTTCCTTTTCCTTTTTCCATTATCCCTTTTCTTTTCCTATGCTTTCCATGTCTTTTGACTTACAGCACCGATCGAAAATGATAACAAAAAAAAGTATATATATATGAAAATTGATGACAAAAATGCAACCATGCAACCCCGAAAATACTTTTCCCACACCAGCAACAAAGCACACACAAAACACAAGAACACACACACACAAATATATACACACCTCCCAACTTATATATACCCTATATATATACTATATATATATATATATAAAGTAAGCACTGCAATCGAAAGCGAGTTAAGGAAACACACTATAACAAAATCTACTAAGCTAAACTAAACTAAATATTAAAAAAGGAGAAACGAATACAAGAACGCTTCTATAAACCTCACTGAAATTCTTCGAAGGATACTTACACACACACACACGAACCCAGAGTCACACACACACACACTTGTACGAGTATATTAACAATAAACGTAATGCGAAAACTTAATCAATAATTAAATAATTCGAAAGTGATATAGCTGACAAAACAAATGTGTCTGTAGTCTAGTAGTTAAAAGAAATTGAAAAGAAACAAAACGAAAAACAAAATAAATGAAATCATTTATAAATAATATTAAACAAAACAATTGAATGACAGAGGATTTTTGAGAATAAAAGGGGGCAATGTATTTTTTTTTCGTGTAAGAAAATGCCTAAGCAGCAAAAATAAGTAATAAATCAAGCAAATAAAACTGTAAATAACACTAAGTGAATCACGCACACCAACACCATTGCATACCCACACACACAAACACACACACACACACACCTACACGGACAGAAAAGTACCGAATAAGTTTGTTAACACCAAAATATAACGGGTCTTAAGTAACGAAATATATAAAAAATTTAATGAAAAAACGAAGAAAAAAACATAAGAAAATAGGAGAAAAAAATCAGTAAGCTAGAGCAAAGAATTTTTTTGTGGATTGAATCAAGTCAATTGTAATAGCCGAAAGAAAAAAAAACAAACAAAAAATATATATATTAAAAAAATAAATTAAATATTTATATTAATTTACAATGGACAGGTGAGAACAGAATAGAACAAAATATAGAACAGCACAGTAATTACAGTTTTGAAACGGGGATCGCGGGAATCCCCGCCGAGCGAGTCTCAGATAAAGAAAAATGATGTTTGAAGATGAGTTTCTTTCCACCGCCGTTGACAAACCACACGAATGTCAAGTTAAACGTTTCACAAGCAATATTTTACATACTTATACATGCATTATATACATATATGGATAAATATATATATATAATAATAATAATAATAAATATACGATAATAAATATATATACTTATATACACACAAACTCCGCAATAACGGCGAGTCAACCGGCAGAAAATAGAAATAATAATTCGAAAAATTGCATGGCCGATGAAGAGGCACACAACTGGAAGGAATATATATATACATATATATATATATATACATATATATATAAATATTATACGATAATGCGAAAATAAGGAAATACATAAATAGAAGTACACAAGATGAAAGCAAAGGAAATTTACATACAACAACAACAACAACAACATTTTTAGTGATATTCTTTAGCAAACTTGAATCTGATTTCTTTTTGCTAAGAACGAAAACGAAATGTAAAAAGTCAAGAAGAATTCAAGAAAAACAAAAACGAGAAAAAAAGTAATATAAAAACAAAACAACAATTAAGGCAATGTGCGTATATTTTACAAAAAAGAAAAGAAAACAAAAAATGTAACTAAAACAAAAAAAATGGTACAGCTAAAAAAATATGAGAAAAGTAAATTCAATTTTTTCCTTCCCATTTACCTTCAGTTTTTCTTTTTCATATCTCCTTTGTACTACTCTATATTTACCGTTATTTATCATCATTATTATTATCATCGAGATGATTATTCCAATTGTTATTATTATTATGATTATGCCAGCCTCGAGAATTACGATTATTGTGTAAACACATGCAAAAAAACTTATAAACAAAACAAAAACAAAAATGAAACAAAAATACATGACACACACACAAAAAGAACCTTTATAGAACAAACAAAAAAAAAATGGAAAATCAAATTCTTTTACCAAGCAAAATGCATAATTATTTTTTTTAAGTAATCGCCTATGGGGAAAAAGGGAAAATTTATCTTGTTACTGTCAGAAAATATTACTTACTTCAAATAAAAATTTTAAAGCGAGATCAAGCGTGTGTTTTTCTCTCTTTCTCTCTGTGAAATTTTAATAAGCCAAACTTGTCTCCTTTTTGGGATAATTATTTTCATTGAGGTAAGTATGGTTGGTATGGGATCCTTGACAGCTGCTCGGGGACACCTTTTAAGTACAGCCAGGTAACCCGGCACTCTCTATATAATTTTCCCCCCCACTCGAGTGAGCGAGAGGGGAGGGGGAACACTATACAGTTAGTCTGTGACCCGTAAGCGTTTTGTTTAATGGCCATTAACTGTTA